TAAAGGACCCCTCCACATATATATATGTGTGTGTGTACAAATGAATTAATATACATATATATATATGCACATATACATACACATACACATACACATACACGAGCATATATGTATATATATATATACATAAACATATATATATGTATGTATGTATGTATATATATATATATGCACATGTATAAACATGTACATATGCATCTATACAGGTACATAATTGTGTACATATGTATGTATGTATGTATGTATGTATGTATGTATGTGTGTGTGTATTTGTGTATGTATGTAAGTATGCAGGTACCTAGGTGTAGGCACACAGGTATGTGGATATGTAGGTATGCAGGGCATGCAGGTTTATAGGTACGTGTGTGTGCTTGCATGCTTGCTTGCTTGCTTTATTGTTTGTTTGTCTGTTTGTTTGTTTGTCCGTTTGCTTGCTTGCTTGCTTGTTTGTTTGTATGTTTGCTTGCTTGTGTGGTTGCTTGTTTCTCTTTATATGTTTTGTAGTTTGTTTGCTTGATTGATTGTTGTTTGCTTGTCTTGGCTTGTTTTGCTATGCTTCGTTGTGATACGGTTTGTTGTGTTTCGGTTTATTTTGTGCTGCTTTCTTTGCTTGCTTGCTTGCTTGCTTGCTTGCTTCCTTGCTGGCTGGCTGGCTGGCTGGCTTGCTTGCTTGCTTGCTTGCTTGCATGAATGCTGCTGCGTTTGCACGCCTGCGTGTTTTCTAAGCTTGTACTTCTGTACGTATGTGCATATGTACTGGTAACAGTTACTAGTATGTGTGTCTTTGAATCAACCTTTCCAGTCTGGAGATATCTAATTGTCTATCTGCCGATCTGCCAATCTACCTACCTATCCATGTACCTATGCCATTGTTCTTGATTTGGTGGTTAAGGACTATTCCAGGGTCAGGGTTAATTTCGGATATCTTGGTAATGCGTCGCCGCAAAGCCGCTGTGCAAAGGCAGCAAGCGCACGCAGCCGTGCGAGTGGAAGGCGTGTTCTAGTCCGGAAGCCTCTGGCACATTGAAGGGAATCGTAGCTTAAGTAAGTTTGCAGCAGATGTCTCGCACCTCGGCTGCCATCGTGCTAAAGGCGCTTGATGATAGTACAGCTGCTGCTGCCCGGGATATGGCGAGGAAGTCCACCTTGGCCGGCGTGCAGTCAGAAAAAGTGTCCGGAGGAGGACCCAGGCCCAAGCCATGCAAAGAGTCACGCGAGAGAGAGCGAGAGAGAGGGAGAGAGGGAGAGAGGGAGACAAAGAGCCCAAGCAAGAGAAAGTGGCTGGGTAAGAGACAAGGAGCTCAAGGCAGTGCTTCTAAGCAGATCGTCACCGCATCGCAGAGCGGCGCGCAGGGGGCGATCATGATTGGACTGAGACCCACGCCCAGGCATCACCCACGCGAGCTAAAGATTCCGCAGCCGGAACAGCATGCCTCGGCGTTTGTCTATGCTTCAATCAGAGGCTTCCAAGCACAGCCTCAGGCACTCACAGGGGAGATCGCTCGACATCAGCCTGTTCAGATCTGCTTCCGATGCTGACCCCTGCAAAGCCATGTGCACACATGGAGCCTTCTCTCCCAGCGATCCGCAGGGTGGGACCAGGCCCTCTTTCACCAAGTGAGCGCGCCTTCAAAATCAGGGGTGAATGAGGATCATGTCTGTCATGACCATCTTTGCTGCTTCGACATCAGCAAATCTCTTCAACAGCCATACGACACACCGGCGGCTGGGGCATGCTGAAACGCAAAAACTCCGCCTGCTGGCGTTCCGGATGACTAGCTTGCCTGAGCTCTGCCAAGTCTGTACCTGTTGGCAGGTTGCAAGGAACTGCACAGAAGGACGAGAAGAAATACGCTTCCATGCCAATTGCCTGCGGCACTTCCGTGACAGCTGGGGTGTCTGCGGCCAGATACCACCTGCAGAAAAAACTCGTGTTTCCGCGAAGCTCACTGGTCTCACTTTGGGCTCTGGACTTTGTCGAGGAGGGCAGCTTCAGGTGCTGCTCAAGGTGGTGAGCGCAGGTCAGAAGGTTCAACACTTCCATCCGGCTTTGGCTGCGGATGTCGACCTTCGACACAACGCTCTCTGGAGTGGCTCTCCGTTTAGGCCGCAAGCCTCTCCGTTGACCATGCCGAAGCCAGCGGTGATGTCACCGGCGCGATGGTGCAAAGCAATGTAGCCTAAAGAGAGTCTCTGGGCTCTGGATTTCTGCAGCCCGCGGGCTACCCCAGGCCTTGCCCGAGCTCTTTCTGAAGCTTCCGCCACTGCTTCTCCAAAGCTTGCGTGGGTCGGAAAAGGAGAGACCACACCTGGTTTCTTGACTGATCAGCCGCGATGGACTTCCTCAAGCCCACCTGCTTGGTCAGGTGAGGGATATCCAGAATCCCTGCCATTTTCGCACGCTCTGCGAGCCATGGGCTCCGAAGAATGGGCCTCAGCTTAGGCTCATCTTGTAGCCGGGCCGGAAATGGGCACAAGACACATCTAGCTTGCGGCCCGAGTAGTGATTTCTTGTTGGTGTACAACACCCAAACCGGATCTTCCGTCTGGAGAAGCTGATGCAAATAAGTCTCCTCAGAATTCTCAGCAGCATGCACCGTTGTTGCACGTCTCTGCTGAGCTAAGCCAGTCCTCGAAGAGGTCATGGTCCCAAAGGACATGCCTCGCTCTTGTTTCTATGAGCAGATGCGAGCTTCACTTTCGCATCGCTGGGATGCAGTCTTGCCAGATGCAAGGCCAGCGAGTCCAACCTCAGGCCGGCAGCTTTGGGGAGGTGCCCCGTGGCTCCGGACATTGAGATCCCAGCAGATCTCCAGTCCAGCAGAGCCGGCCTTGATGTTCAGGGATCCAAGGGCTCAGTCCCCCCCGTCCTCTACCCATGCTCCCGCTGACTTGTCTGCGCTTGCTGTGGACGTCTGTGCACCCAGCTCGAGGAAGAGTCGCAGGTCCCAGGGATCAGGAGAGTCCTGGACGATTCCTACCTAAGCACCGAGAACGACCGAGAACTGAAGGAACGCTATCTCCGGCAGTCCAGCAAAAAGAGGCGCCCGGTGAGGACTGCCAACACGAAGGCTGCCACGATGCCCTGGCAATCTGCAGCTTTGGAATCAAGCACACATACATAGAGTCAAAATGCATGCAACATACGTAAGTTGAGCGATGAAGAAATGTACGACTTTGTACCGTATCGTCATGTTGCTTCAGCCTCGACTTTAACCTACGATCGAGTGACAGCAAATGCTCAAGAGACTTCCCCACATGCAGTTTGATCCATCATGTCATATGTACCGTGTTAACATGTACCGTGCTCACTCAACGAAGCATCGTCACTCGAAGGAACAAAGCGTATTTGCCCTAAGGCAGCACGTAGGATGGGCGACAAACGAGGCGTTTGGCGAGAGGTTCTTGTAAGTGTCCCGAAAATCTCTCACATCATCTGCTGTCCCCTACGAAACATGGGAAGCAGATGCAATGCGACGGGATGAAAGGCAGCTGATTCGGTACAAACCCTGAAAGCTGCGAGACGTTCGTCATAGAATCAGTTTACCAGGCCGCAGGCCATCTCGAAAACGGGCGAAGGCTGAGCTGGGATCGGCTGCGTGACCATGCGCTAAGTGGCAGATTGGAGCTCGCTTAAGAGAGGTCAAGCTTCCACAGCTCAAATGCGCGCAGAACAGCTGTGGACTGGTAGCGCTGCCATGTGCTGTGACGTCTTGACAAGTGCTCGCTTTCACATCCAAAGCAAAGACCGCGGACACAACCGATAGACAACAGAACGAGATGAAGCGAGACGAATCCTGAGAGAAAACAGGCAGAAGGGCAGAGAAGAGGCCAAGATGAAGGTCCGAGCAATGGACACGAATGGAAACATGAGGGCAGATTCGATTGAATCCTCCAGACCCGAAAGACCGAAAGAGCAGCTCAATTTGTACACAGAAACCTGCTTGCAGCTTCTTGCAGCAACTGAGACACGGAGTTCGAACACAAGTTCCTGGATGGCGCAAGTATGACCTTGTGTCACATGCTATAACTACCTCTTCATGTACTACCATGCCGCAGTACCGAAAGCATCTCTGAGCTATCTTCTGCACATTGCTCCGGCATCACGGGGACCCTTAGACTGCTCGAGGCGGGTCCTTCAGCCGGTCCCCATGACCCCCGCAAGGTAAGGCCGGTTGGCAGGCCCAGACCTTGGCAGGGGTCCGGAGAGTCCGGAGCTGGGGCCGCTAGGGAGGTTCCCCTACTGTTACCCCGCTGCACGCGCTGAGGCCGAGGCCAGAAACTTCGCGCTGGTCAAGGCACCTGCCTGCAGGAAGCATTCAGACGCCGGCCGTTGGGAGCCAGAGGAGATCCTAGGATCCTGGCTCTCAGCTTGGCCTTGGCACAGCTCTTGCGTCCGGCTCGATGCCACGGCGCACGACACAAGGGCACCCACCAGGGTCTTTGAATGCCACCAGACATAGCTCTCAAATGTGCGGGGCAGACCAGCGCGGCTCACCTCCATATGGCTGACATGCAACAAAGCAGTGCCCCAGTGTAGATGCTGAGTGCCGTCGCGACACCAGCAGAATCACAGCAGAATTCAGTGTGAGTTCAGGAATTAGACATTCTTTCTTCACAAAACGAGCGACGCTTCTCTCCTACTCGGTGCCTTTGGCAGCTGACTAACGGCAAAACAATCTCGGAGGCGTGGTTCAGACACTTCGCGTCTGAGCGTGTGCGACAGAATCGCTTGGACGAAAGGTAAATCACCGGCTGTGCTGACCTGAGGATTCTGAAGACGAATAACGAGAAGAAGGAGGTGAGGGGCGAAGACAAGATCTCACCAGGAAACTATCAACTTGCCTGGCTAAGTCTCTGCCAGGAACCAGCCACGAGATGCATTGATAAATTGAAACACCTCCTTTGCATGTGGGTCTGAGCTCTTGTCCGGGTGGTACTGCAGCATTAACTCACGCAATGCTGTCTTGCGCTCTGCCAAAGGCGACTGCATCATGTCACGCAGTTTCTTTTCAATGGCCTGCTTCTTGCTCTTCACCTCAGACGTGTCCCCACTGAAGTCTGTGGCATTAGACTTTGCTTGTTTGTTCTTGGACTGGTTCGACTGGTTTCCACTGCCGCCTGCCTGGTTTCCACTCGCTTCCTTGAAAGGAGTCCCAGGCTTCGCTGAGCTCGCTGCGCCAACGTTGTTGGAAGACGAAGGTCGCTGCTTCGCGAACTTCGACTTTGCATCCGCCTCAGCGCCCGTCGGCGTGGCCGTGGGCCCCGTGGCCGAGGGCGGCGTATATCTCGGGCCACTCTTCCTGTCCCGGTTCAGCGTTGCGGCAGCGGCACCGGCACCAGCCATGCCTTTCCGCGCGACCGACGACTTTACAAAAGCACCTTGCCACTGCGCCTGTGGCGATTGTGGCGACTTCACCTTCTGTGCCCAGTTCCGTCCACTGTTGTCCAGTGTTTCATCAGCATGTCCACTGTGCTCGGACCGATTGCCAAAGCTCCACGTTGAGGCAAAAGTTGCAGAATGGTCTAGCTCATCCTCAAAGGCCTGATCTTCCTGCAGGCCCTTTGGCGAGCCCGGCGGTAGAGTTTGTGGGCTGATGCTACTGGGCTTTTGCAACGGTTTGACCTTTTTCAGACGGGAGAGTCTCCACAGCATCAAACATACAGGTCCCATCACAAAGACAGCTCCAGCTGCCATGAAGACAGGGTAAAAATCCTGCAGACTGCCATCATTCAAAGGATTCTCCACAATTTCGATGCCCATGCATCTGAACGTATACACTCCGGATGGCAAGCCTGGAAAAATGTTTCCAGAGGTGTCTGAAAGGGCGTCTCCTGGCAGATCTATAGAGTACTCCTTGCCAGGCTTCGTGAGATCTGCCAGCTCAATCTTGACTGCCTGCAAAGCTATGGCAACACTGGGCGAGGACATCGGGAACTCGGCGATGGCCCCGCCCCGAACCGCAGAGGTGGCATCACTGAGCTCATAGAGAGTGACCATCCTGTTGCCAGACATGAGCACCAGCTCCTCGTCGAATGTGAACGTCACAGCAGCACCAGGTGCCACGTCAGATTTGCCGTTCACGGGCTCGAACCGGATTAGCTGTGGCTCTATAGTATCACCTAGCTTGAAGTTGTACAAGCCTTCTTGCAGGCCAGTAAAGGGCACGTCGGACCTGTCAACGACAACGCCGGGGCCTACGTGCAGATTGCAATTCCTCACCTCAACGAACTTAGCATTCAGCAGGACAGATATGCTGATCGTAATGCCGGTTCCGGATGCACTTGGCATGATACCGTCCCAGGGAACAAAGAAGGGAAGCTGTTGCCCTGAGCACCTGAAATAAACGCTTCCCACCTCTGTGATAACCACTGCTCGGTTGAAATTGACCAAGATGTTGTTGTGAGTCGGAACTCTCAGTTGTGTGCCCGATGCAGGTATGATCGACACAATCTCGGGCGGATTGCAGTGTCTTTGAGACGCACAGGCGCTGCAAGGCGTTCCAGGAGAACTGCCCACTACGCATCGTACACTCGATTCATCCCAATGGCAGCCCAGTGGTGAGTAAGCGCAAGAACAGGCCGCCCTCAACCCAGCGCAAGAGGTCGCTGCACAGTGCTCCTGTGCATTGCATGCAGAGCACGGCACCATGCCACGACCCTCTTGGCAAAAAGTTTGCCCACCTGCTGCTGTGACCCACTCGCAGCCCTCAATCCCTGCACAAGTGCAAGGAGCGTTGGTGTTGGAGCACATTTGGGGTGCTACAGGGATCGGCGAGGTGGTGATGGCTGGGATATAGATCGGTGGCTGTTCAGTGGACGTCCATGTGGCAAAAATCGTTGGACGCGTGACCGTCTCTTCTTGGACCTGCGGAACCGGCAGAAGAAGAACCCAGAAGGGGCTAATCAGCACATTCTTCATGGACGGGCTTTCTCTCACCAGTGCCTTGAATGTCTGCAGCAGGGAGCTCTCAGATGCAACTTGAAGCAAGTAAGTCACACCGGCACTCCCTCTTTGGGGAGGCAGCACCACAAAGTCGAACTGGAAATTCTGCCAATCCTGGCCCGTCGTGTCCCCCTCTGGAACTTCGGGGGCAGGGCTGCTCAGCATGTCGGCGGTCTTCACCCAGCTGCTGCGGATCTCTAAGGTCAGCGAAACTGCTCGGTTCAACAGAAAGCCAATCTCACCAATCAAGCCCAGTGGGAGAGATGCGGTAAGGTATATGGTGCAATAGACAACCTCTTCAATGCTCTGTACTGCACTTTCTTCTTCGGTAACGAAGACAAGGTGCTCGGAAACTCGACGACCAAGGGCTTTTCTGTGTGTCTGCATGAATGACCCGTTGTGGAAGAATGAATCATCATTGAATTCTGGATCGCTGTGGCTTGGTGCACCAGGCGATGTAACATGTTGCGGGGAGCTTGATGCATGCCCAAGGATGCACTCACCAGCGAAAGATAACAGTAAACAGAACAAGGTCCAAGGTCTTCCAGAGACAGAGGGAAGTCTTCGACTGAGCCTCCTACTCCTCGCTATCACGTTGCTTCTCCACCTCATGGATCAGCACTGCCGCCCCCATCTGCCGTCAACGGGCATTCCCTGCCCCCTGACTCTCGGCCGGCAGCATACTCGAGAGGAACGGCCAGCGGGTCATGATGGGTCATGCGAACAAGATCTGCCAAGCTTTTTAACATGCTCTGCCCTTTGAGATGCTTGGGCCCTTGGCTTCACTAAACCCACCCGACACCTCCGCTTCGAGAGGTTCGACACCGACCATGCTCGGCCTTTCTGAGCTGGACAATGCGCTGAGCCTGGGCGCATCACGGAACAGCTCAGGACAAAAAACGCCGATCACATTCGGACAAGGCCCTGCCACCTCTGCCACTAAGCGTGTGTCACTTCCGCAACACGAGGTCCCGTTTTGGCTTGCCACTTGGAAGCATCTGACACGTAGTGCATTTGGACCTGAGGCTATGGATGGGTAGAAGAGTCGCAGCCAGAACGCCGGCAGAGGCCTGGGCATCTTGGATGCCACACCACTGGTTGAAGGAGGTTCTGCGCAGCTCGAGACAGCTTCTGGCCTTAGCGTCCAGGATGTATTTCTGAGTGATCAGTGGGAAGGCAGCGACGAGTTTAGCTCGCAGCGTCAACGCCTGCTCCAAAGGATTTTTCGCCCCAGGCATCTCTGCCTGCGCCGTCCCGCGCTGCCCGCAGTCCTGTGTGGACTCCAAGATGCTCGGGGCGCAACGCCAGTCCCGCTGTTGCAAGAGGGGGTCCTCATAGCAGCAAGCGGACGGATCCCTGCAGCCCCGGATTGTCACTGACTGGGACCGCCACCATCGAAGTCGGGCAGCCGCTAGGCAGGCGATACCTGAAGCTGTCGTTTCAGCTGACAAATCACAACTTGAGCCTGTTCAGGGCTCCTGCCAGCAGCCTGGGCCAGTTGGGTGGTCGTCCCCAGAAGTGTCGACGAGCCTCGGCCAAGGCCACTGCATTACTAGGCCTAATTACTAAGGCACGTGTCCAGTGAAGTCTGCAAACCTCGAGCCTCTGGCAGACTGGGCCCATCCTGCAGAGCAGCGATTTCGCGACTGCGAATGTCCCTCACAGACCTGACAGGAACCATAGGAACCCCACAGGCCTCGTGCAATTGCATTCTCCAGCAGCTGCGTGCCTGCACCTCAGCGGAAGGCTCTGAGTTCCTCTCAGAAACTGATCAAGATCCCAGTTCTGGACACATTTCCTCCTCGCGAGAGAAGGAGCCTGCAAGGACCATCGGTACGAAAAGCCAACTGGCGGCCAGTGCCTGACCTGGTCCCACAAGTCTGCATCGCGGTAATGCAAGCCAAAGGTTGGCCTCAGGACCTGCGGCCAAAACTTATCAAAGCTTCAAACTATCCATCTATCCATCTATCTATCTATCATTACTTCTATTATGATCTATTCATCTCGCTTCTAGACGTCCGAGGCCCCAGCCAGCTCCACCCTCGGATCTTCTTCCTAAGCGAGGGGCAGGACACGAAGGACAGACGCGACTCGGCCCGCGCCTGGCTTCGCATTTCAATCGCCAGCTGCGGCCTCGAAGAGTCGGAGCATGCGCGACGAGGTTCCAAGGTAGGCCGATGCGCCGGACGCATTCTTTACGAAGTACTCCTCGAGCAGCAGCACACGCACTCCTTCGCAGAGTCGGTATCACCTGATGGATCTGCCGACAAGACACGAGCCTTCCGGCAAATGTTTGCGCACCTGCGAGACTGCGAGAGTCATGCAGCCATGCTTTAGATTCTGCCAGAGCCGTCGTCCTCGCCTCATCTTTGCAGTGCATAACTTGGCTGTAGGTGTTGTGCATGGAAAGGCCGATCACCAGCAACGCCTGCAGGTCTGGGCACGTGCCAGAGGCAGTTGTCCGTCGAAGCCTAGGCCTCCTCAGACTTGTTGGCCACCTCCCCAATCTGCCCCAGTGCGCGTGCGCGTCTCAGCGACAGGGACTCACCTTGTCAACACGCTGAGGCTTTGCTGATGCACGAGCTGTACAAAGGCTGCAGAATGCACAGTTTGGGGCTTCTGCGACTCTTCTCGAGGCTGCGGCGCAACTCAGAGTACCCGAGAACCTCTCCCATGGTAGTTTGCGCAGTCGTCTCTGAAGGGCTCCGTGCGTTAGTGAATACTCGCTCTACTGGCATGGAGAACCCTGAACCCATGAAGTCTTGGCTCTAATCTTCCATGTTTGCCTTGCCGATTTTTGCTCCAACTCCCATCAACTCGCGCTTCTCCGATTCGAGTGACAGTGGAGGCTTACTGTGTGCGTCTTTGAATGGGTTTCTTGGTATCTTTGCCCTGTGACGGACATGCAGCGATGCACATCGTCAGACTGCTCGATCATGTTCGTTTGCTCGATGTTGCGGCAGCAGTGCATGTGCGTGTGCGTCCATCGCGGAGTCCATGCTAGAAAATGCTGTTGCTTTCATGCGGCGCTGGACTTACCCAGTTCACCTACAGCATGTTGGTGAGGTCTCACCCGCCACATTGGTTGTTGTGAGCGCTGGGGCGTTGCAGCTTGTGTCCAAGCCCAGGCAAGGGCCTCAGGGCGCAGGTAGCTGCCAGAAGCACGCAGAGACCTGGCTGTTGGGGGGAATGCCTGCAAATTGAGAGCCTCCAAGGCTTTGAGGTCTAGGCATCATAACCTCTGAATCGGCTTCGTGCATTTCTGCAGTCTCTTCGAGCTGCCAGGTCCATGTCAGGTGCACGGCCTTTGCTCAGCAGACGCGCAGCCGGTCAACGACCTCCCTGCATCTCTGCGCCGCGCCAGATTGATTGTGCGCAGTTCCAGCAAGGCGGTGGATGCAGCAGCCTCGGTCATGTCTGGGTGATGGAAGCCCACGACACAGTGACATTGTCTCTGAGGCAGCAGCACAGAAGAAGCGAACTAGCAGGCCAGGCTCTGCATCCTCGCGGCATGGCCATGTCTCAATGTCTCTGCCGGAGCAAACGGCATCCTGGAACTCCGGGATCCGGTTCACAGGCCTCGGCAGCAGTTCACCTTTACGTCACGTCTTCTGCCAACTCGTCTTAGGTGCCGCACGTGCCAAGAGACAGGCTTCGCAGAAGTTGGGCCAAAGCTCGCCTTCAAAGCCAGTGCCCTGAACGCATCCCTGCATGACCGGTCTCGTCTAAGTGGCGAGCCCACTTCCGCCGTCTTCGCCGGACTCGAGCTGCTCGGCAGTTGCCAGTATCTGTCTCGTCCTGGCAGCCGCATGAAAGAAGGCGTCGAAAGCCGCGGAAAGCACCGTCCTCGCGCTCGCCAAAGATGCCGCCGACTTCAGCTCGCCCTGCAGAGCTGCGAGGGCCGCCTCTGAGGAGGGAAGCAAAGATGGGCTTTTTGGTCCGTACGCTCGGACTCGGGTCGCAGCTTCGGAAGATGCTGCACCTGTGCAAGGTCTCGGGATTCGCGAGTTGCCGTTTCACGGCTGGGCGCCTGAAGACCAACAGCGCTCTGCCGCGGCTTCCGCCCAGCGAACCGCAGCGTCGGCCTCTTCAAGAGCCCAGGCCGCAGTCGCTGTCGTCTTCGGCCCGGGACCCCGGCGCCCGGTCGGCAGGTCTCCGTTGCTCTTCGCGCCCCATCCTTCCCGTGCAGGTCAGAGTGAGAGGCTTCGATGGAGCAAGGGGCGTACTGTCAATGCGATGAGGAGCTTCGCCACATAGGGTGGCCAAGCCTTGATCATCACTGGGAGGTGGGCGTATCAAGTAACTGTTGCTTCCGCTTTACAGTCGAGTCACTCCTTGCATCTTGGTGTTCTGCGGGCTTGGACAGGAACGACAAGTGCACATATAGTGCGCGACAAATCACACTAGCGCACACTTTCGCACCATAGAAGGAGACTGAGAAGTACAACAGCTTCAGCGCACAGCTTCGCCCTGAGCTTTCCGGTGGGTTTGCAGCTGTCTCGGTGCCTGGAAAAGTCCGTGGAAAGCAGAATTGGAGTCAGACTCGTCGTATCCTTGCAGTAACCTTTAGAGTACCCTGATAGTGACCTCTGCAGAAACCCCTTCAAACCCATTCTTTCTGCAAGGGGCCAGCAGCGCCTTCAAACACACATCTTTCAGGATGAACTCTTCCGACGTGCCAGGGAAGAAGGCTCTGAGACTTATCCAATGCCGATTCTTCCCGTACATTTCTTGAAGAACGAGCCCCGCGGTTGCAGATCACTCCACCATCGGCATGGGCCTTCTGAATGGAACAGTTTGCCCTGTGATGCGATAGAGCTTTGTGTCCTTGCTGCGGCCAATCTTGATCCATCACCTACGGCATTGCCATTTCCGTTCATGATCATTGGCTACCCCTCTTGCCAGAGGGTGTCAGCTGGTGTTTGTTTCTTTTTCCACGAGCATGTCTGGCCGTCTGGCCTTATCAGCCATGTTCATTCTCTCTCGCTCTGTCTCATTGCGCTGACCACTTGGGCGACGGCATCGCTGAATTGCCACCAACTGGCACAGGCATCCAGACATGCTGGCAGTCAGACTGAAGCTGCAACGTTACCTCACACCTCTCCTCTGCTATGCCAGATCCCTATCTCACGTGACTGTACTGCGTGTACTGCATCCAGGATTGAATTGACGACTGGCAATCAGATGCCATGATGCCATGAAGCATGCATCGGCTGCACCGAGGGCTCTTGAAAGAGCTCGAATTCGAGAGATAACGGCTTTGATCTATCGGAATCGTCGATCCCTGACGGACCAGGCCACGCCTCTGCGTCGCCGGCCAGTCCTAAGGCAAGGCGTTGCAAGGCTGAACCTCTGAGCTGCTCACTGAGCTGCTGGCTGACGGAAGCTCTGTACAGCAGCTTGCTGCCCGACGAGCAAGGTCTATGGCAAGGCTCACCTTTCGAGTGTCAAGGTCCCGCCGCGCCTCACTGCGGACCGAGCCTGCTTCGCTGCATCCTCCTGGAGCCCTCCTGCACAATGTCGCCAAAACCCCCGTATTATACTCCTCTGCCTCGGCATTCGCACTGTGTCCTTGGCAACTGCGAAGGAGATGCGAGAGGGGTCCAATTCCCAGACCTGCTTCTTCAAGTGAAATCGCAAGCGCAAAACATCTGGTGAATCCTGGGTGAATCTATGTGAATCTGGTGACTGTGGCACCTCGTGCTGCACCCGAGCCAACTTCTGCAGCGGTGATGCACGGCAGCACCATCGTCTCGGTTTCAGCGTTCACGGACGTGCTGCCACTGAGCCACGCCGCACGTGGATTCCTGTAAGTGCCGTGCCACTGTAAGCAGCGGCCATGGCATCGCCACATCAAGGGGTTTAATTAACAGCACATGAAGACAAAGATATGTGCTGCAGAGCCGCAATCTTTTGGGCAGATGTAGTTGCTAACACACGGCCACATAGCTATTTTCCCCACGAAGACGCGCACTCATTGCGCACACACACACACACCCGCTTGCGCGCGCAAGGATCCTACCTTCTCGCGGTCCAAGGCAGCATCTGCTTCATCCACTTTCTGGGCCTAGCGCTGGTGGAATTCGCCACCGCTGCTTTGCTGCGCTTGATTTAGTCCATCTTGTTCGTTGCAGACGAGATTTCAAGAGCTTCAGCAGTCTTGTAGCACAGGATGGTGCCCGGGCATCGTCCCGAACGGCTTGAGTCGGCTACGGGGTCTCCTACCCGTCCTCTTCCACATCTCCCCAGGGCTTGGAGGCTGTCTTCGAGATTTCAAGTGTGCCTGGAGCTGCCGGACATCTGCCCGGAGCTCGTCCAAGGCCTGGCGGATTGGCTCCAGCGAGAGCTCCTGATGTCAAGCTGGTTCCGGAATCAACAAAAACCCGCTCTGCCAAGCTCTTGAGGTTTATCATGCTTGACAGACTCAAAACCCCCGGGAAAAAACCAATAACACAAGTACTTGATGGGAGAAAACCCGGGGTACCATGAGCTGCGACGTCAACCGTCGGACACCGCTTCCGGCCGGGTCCTTCTGAAGTCGGTCTTCAATGGAACCAAACTTCTCCAACATTTCCTCTTTGGTTGCCTCCGGGTGCGCCACAGATATGTCCAAGGCAGTCGTGGACGGAAACCAGCCTTGTCGCGCTCTGCCGCCTCAAGACCCTTCTCAACCTTGGTGTTGCATTCCCGCTGTGGGTTTAGCCAATAAGCGAGTCGAAACGGGTTCTCAAGGGTGTCGGGGATCGTCTGCAGCTGTCTGCTAGCGCATCCACAGTCTTGGAGGCGCGGCAGATCCCGAATCCCGAGCTCCCAGCTGTCAGGACTCTGTACTGGAGGCTTCGGCTCTGGCACAGGGTCGCACAAAAAAAAACGTGGTCAAACCCCGCCAAGGATGTTTGCACTCAAACTGCGGAGTTGGGCCCGGAGCCCTAACCCCGAAACCCCGAACCCTAATTCCCTCACAGCTTTGGC